CCCGCGAGAGGTTGCAGCACCCTGCGCTTACAGAGCGCTCTGGGGCGAGGAGGCGGGAGGTGCTGTCTCCTTGCATTTGTTTTAATAATGCTAAGCACTTTTTTTTTTTTTTTTTTAACTCCCTTCTTTGATAGTTATCAATGCTTTATCTCAGCGCTATTTCTTGCAAGCCAGTGATCAAAAAGACCTGCAGGACTGGGTGGAGGCTCTGAACCGCGCCAGTAAGATTACGGTAGGTTGCACTATGCATGTCTCTGATGTCTCTGTGTCCTCCCTTGATGGGCCATCAGATAACTGTCTGGAAGAGCTGTAGGTCTTGTTCTTTCTGTGCTCTCCTCCTCCATCACTTCCCCCGTCCCACCTGAGAAGCCTGCCAAGAAGTAGTGGCAAGGCTGTCCCTGGAAATATTTGGGTTGCAAGACTTGGAGAGGTTTAGTGCAGCGCTTGTGGTGCTGGCCCTGCTGCAAACTCCTAGTCAAGCTCCTGAGATGTTCTCTGTTAATCCTGGGATCTTGCTTCACGGCCGCAGACTAAGGAAGAAGCTGAAACGCAGCTCTCCGCTGGCTGCTGCCTGGTCTCCTTGTCCTTCTGAAGTTTGCTCCTCTTCCTTCACGCCCAGCGTTGAGCCGCCGCATAAAGCGGCAGCGAGGCCGGGCTGTAGCTCCCGAAACCCCTTCGTTCCCTGGCAGGGTGCTCCGTTCCTGCGGGACGGGCCCCCTGGGAGCAGCGATCTTATACAAATGCCTCGCGTGCTTATGCGCTGTTCTGCAAGCATGCATGGCCTGGGTGATTTTAATTTAAGAAAGATGCACTCTAAGCAGAAGAGGCAACTTGCTGGCGATGGAGCCTTTTAGATCATGGGGCTGGGAAGCTTTGCCATGGTCCCTTTCCGAGGACTTAGGGCCTGCTACCAGAGAGCAAGGGATCCTCCTGCTGATGTGCATCTTTGCCCTCCTTGTCCCGGCCGCTGCGTGGGGCAGCGGTGGCATGCCGGGACAGCTGTGCCGGCCTCATCCACGTGCACGCTGGTGCTGCTTTCCCCGTGCCGTTCCTGCTGGCCGGGATCTGCACGTAACTGATTCCTCGCTGCTGCTGTCAAAGGGCTGCTTGTGCTTCAGTAATTTGCTTGCTCAGTTTTATTCTTACTGGAACGCGGGTCTTGTGATGCGGCCCAGCAAACGCCGGCGTTGCAGGGCACGGCAGGCTGGGTTGTGCCTGCTCCCAGGGGACTCGGCTGGCAACCTCCTCTCATTTACTGCTGTGTTTATGTGAGCAGAAATTAATGGTCGCTGACCCAGTAACTGATGGTGTCTTTGCTCCTCGCTGCCCGGCGCTCCTGGCGCTGAGGGCTGCTGCGCGCCCGGTCTGGTGTAGTGGGGATGAAAGCGCTGTCTGTGCACTGAATAGTTAATGCTGAGTTTGAGGAGACTGGGTGACAGGACTTCCGATTTAGGTATTCAAGGCACAGCTTTCCTCATGGACATGGGACGTAACGGATCCCTGGGAAGGCGTTGGGGTACCGTAGGGTACTTGGCATTAGCAGTGTGGCTAATGGTGGTGCTGGCGGGATCTTACAAGATCGTAGGCTGCTTCGTGTTGTTCGCAGTTTGTAAACTGTGTGTAAAGAAAATCGTTTGGGAACAGTTTAGGATTGGGTCTTGTGAAATATTTTTTTTCCCTTGAGCTTTTCTTTTTTTTTTCCCTTAAATCCCTGGAGTGCGGTGTTGTCCTCCCTGCATGAAACCCACGGACTTGGCTCGCCCAGCCCGGCTGGGAGGCGTTGGTGCAGCCGCGCTGCTGCCCGGGGGTCCCCTCTCCGCACCACCCGCCTTCTGCAGGTCTTTCATGTTGCAGGATGCAAAGGGGGGGACGAAGGGACGCGTGCATGCCCGGGCCAGCCGGC